GAGACTCTAAGAGAAATGTTCCACAAGAGCTTGAGTGATGTTTCCAGAAACAAAATAAAATCATCTGGGGTCCATTGCTCAAGTCTCTTTTGTGTTATTCAGAAAGTGTGATGCTCTGGAAAACCCTCCGGATGATCTTACCCATCTCTCTTCATGTCACCAACCTCATAACCATAAAATGCTCCCATCCATATTCTGTGCTTAAAGATGGTTAACTGGACCTGTGAAGCCATGTTACAGATTTAAAAATGAATGTTTAAAACTAACATATTGTAAATAATATTGGTTAACTGAAGCCCTGGATGAAAGATAGAGGGGAAAACAAGTTCAAATTCTTCTTTGCCAGCCTCCATGATGGAGTATTAGTGAAGTTTTTTTTTTTAAATTAAATACCATGTTCTTAACTGTAATATGTATATAATATACACAATGTGATGACGAAGCAACTGTTATAATCAGGCATTTTCCTGGGTTACATGTGCTGACCTTTCACAATTTTCCATTGTTAGGAAAAAGTATCATAAGCCTACCTTTTTTGAATTAACTAAAAGTCCTGACAATTTCAGATCTGTAAAGCAATTTTATGTATCTAGCTTGTTTTGTACTCTCTTGAGTCCTAAGAGATAATATTATCTCCATTTTACAGATGAGTAAACCTAGATTCTGAAAGACTGAAAGTTAAAAGCTCTCATTGACAAATCATAATGGGAAAAAAGTATTTGTTGGACATAAGTTTATTTGTAATTGTAATTACTAAAGATGACAATATAAGGTATATTAAACTACAGGCAATTGAATCTATAATATTTAAATATGCAAATTTTAACAGAATCCTGAGAACATACTTTATCAATTTTTCTTCTAATTTTCATCAGCAAGAAATAGATATTAAATATCTTTCTATCATGCACCCTAAGATGGCCAAGGTGCAATCACTTTTGTTCTGGTGCATATTTACCAACCCCTTGGGGAAGATGTTCCCAACCATTTCCAATCATTTTGTGGATGGATGTTATTAGCTCAAGGGTGATTAAATCAGAGTGCAGATAGGGTGACTCAAATTCATCATCAAAATGGGAAAAGCTGCTAAACACATCAGAGTAAATAGTCTTTTTTCTTTTAATAAAAATGAGTACATTAAAAAGGGGGAACTTTTTTTTTCAAAGAAGAATATGTGAACACCTGAGGTTCTGCTGAACATGCCTGGCAATTTATATCTTAAATTGTTTATCTGTATAATCTCATTACTGTAGACCACTTATTGAAGGACATTCACCAGAAATGATTTTTCAAATTTTTGTGCAAAACAAAATGATATATATCCTAATATATATACATATTTAAAATAATATATATGATACCTAACCAATTAAGATTAACCCACTGGATTAATATGTAGGTATATATAATATATAATAACTCTATATTGGTATTACATATTCATTGCAGTAGCACCGCCTTGTCTCTGAGGCAGATACATCCAAAGGCCCCCAGTGGGTGTCTGAAACTAGCTAATATCAAACTCTACATATAGTATGCTTTTTCCTACACATATATGCCTATGATAAAGTTTAATTTATAGATTAAGCATAGCAGAGAATTGACAAGAATAATAGAACAACTGTAATAACATACTGTTCACAATTTCACAAATAGAAGATTCGTGCTTACTGAAGACATTAGCAATCTCAGCATAAGATTTTTGTTCTTTCCTCATTAAGTTGAGAACTTTCACTTTTTCACTTAGAGGAAGCACCTTACTGCATCTCTTTGGCACATCCAAATTGCCAGTATCACTACTTTTGTGTTTTGGAGCCATTATTAATTAAAATAAGGGTAAATTGAACACAAGCACTGCAATATTGCAACAGTTGTTCTGATAACCAAGACTGCTACTAAGTGACTAACAGGTGTATCATATGACAGCCTGGATACCCTACACAAAGGGATGATTCACATCCCCAGCCGGATGCAATGAGATAGAGTGAGACAGGGAAAGATTTCAGAATGGTGTACAATTTAAAACTTACAAAGTATTGCTGGAATTTTCCATTTAATATTTCTGTGTCCTGGTTGATCATGGGTAACTAAAACCACAGAAAGCTCTACAGGGGGACTACTATACATATACATATATATGGATATATGTTCCATTTAAGACAAACTAATCCACTGTATTATTTCCAGGGCATCTTATAACTATGATTATTTCAACTTTAATTAAATGTCATCCTCTAGCTCTGAGTGGGATTTTTTTTAAGTTGGTTAACATAAAAGATATCATCTTATTTTTAAATACTTAATTTTCAAGGCACAGATATTTTACAATGATTCTATGGTTTTATCTGTATTAATCTTACAGTTTGCTGTAAATACCCTGCCTAATATCATCTTGTCAAATAGAATTGTGACCACTTACAAGCTGATAGTGTGTGACACCACAAAGAAGGAAATAATATGGCTTTACTTCCTTGCATTTAAAACTATGCAATCAGCCCTTTTCAGTTAAAGAGCAGAACAATTTTGGCAAATTGTCTCCGCTAAACATAGTTGTTAACTTTTGCCACCACTTTGGCTGTCAGTTTGAATCATGTTTAGAGACAGAAATGAGAAAGTAGATAATGTTCCTTGGCTTGGCAAGAAACAGTAGGATGGATGTGAGTGTGTAAGTGAAGACAGTGAAACCCCTACTGTTGATTTCTTCCCGTGCTTGTTTTTGTTCTGGAGTTGGAAACAGAAAAAAAACACTATTGAAACCCTCTTCTGATGATTGGAAAAGTGTTCTGAAATGATTTCCCCCCTCTGGATCCTGACCACTGTTGCTAAAAACTCATCTTAGAGATTATTCTACAATTCCCCATCTCTGAAGCTACAGAGAACTTCTCAGCTCACACAGTGAAGCAGAATAATTCTCATTGTTTCTGCTTCAACAGATAATCTTTTCTTTTCCCGCAAAGACAGAAGAAAAATTTTCATTTTTTCCCAAAGATTTTATATTAGCTTTCATTTAATTGTGCTCAACATTGACATTTTTGACCTATCATCCATGGTAAATGAAAACCAGTATAGTAATAGTTAATCTCCTTTGAAGATATTTTTGTATTACCTTTTTCCCCATACTGATAAGTAGGAAATGAAACAGTCTAAAGAGGGGAAAGAGATTCTAAGAACCCAATAACAAGTTTAAGGTAACCAGAACAGTAGAACCAAGATTCCATTTCAAACAAGTTAGGAGGATGGAGATTCTGTGACATAATAAATATCCATATGCCAATACTTAGGCTTGAAAAGCAAAATTTCTCGTGCACACACATGCAGAATTGCACGTGGTGACACATGCACAACAATGATGATATCTGTTTTGTAATTGCTTCCTCCGTGTTTTATTTCTACTCTATAAAAAGAGTAGATAATTTCTACTCTATATAAAGGAGAAATAGAGGCCCAAATGTCTTATAAAACATACTACAAAATTATTAGGAAATGTTCAAATCTTTCTGTAATCATGTTAACTTCCTGAGCAAATTGCTTTGCATCTATTTTTGAGCCATTAAAGGTCTCCTTTTTCTTTCACTCACAGTACTCAGTTCCACGGCCACAAATCTGTGGCAGATCTATTCAAGGGAAGATCAAACTATCCCAAGGAATATGTGAGCATCTGAACTGAGAATCTTAGTCAGGAAAACTGTCTCATGTTAATATTCTACAATTTTCTGTCAAGGAAAGGTAGCCAGAAACTACCCTTTTCTCCTGTCACTGGTAAGTTTAGGACATTTATAGGAATTGTCTTAATATCAGAATCTTTACTATATCAGGTGTATTAGTATTGCTAGCATAGCAAACCACCATAAATGTAGTCACTTAAACACGACTTTTAAAACATTTAAAATATTTTAAATTGTAAACCTCTTTTTATTTATTTATTTTTTTACCACAACTAGAAGGAGTTGAAATCTGCCAACAATTCAAATGAACAGGGAAATAGATTCTCCTCCAGCACTTCCAGAAAGGAACCCAGCCAGCCACCATCTTGATTTTAGCCCAGTGAAACCTGTGTAGCACTTCTGACCTACAGAACTGTAAGGTCAGCAAGAAAATGGCTAAATTTATGGTGACTTGCTGTAAATTCATCTCATCCCTTAAAAGTGTTTGTGATTTTAAATGGACATTATGAATAGAACAGTAACAAATAAATATATAAATAAATATCTTTTATAAATAAATATACATATATAAATACTCAAGATACATGTCTTGAATTTTTACTTATCTGTGTGAGCCATTAGAAATAGTAACAATTATTTTATAAGTTGATATTAAATACATTTGGTTGTAACATTACAAATTAAAACTGTATAAAAGAAATGCTTATCAATTAACCTGATATCATTAATTTTGCAAGAGTCTCATAACAGATAAATCAAATCTAGATTTGTCATAATTTTAATTAGCTACTCAGCCATGTCATAAAAGAATAATTACTAAGACTCCCAGAATCTTCTCATTTTGGAAACATAAGGCAACATTTTTTAAATACTACTTTTTTGAAATAGGTAACTGTTTCAAACACTGAATTTGAAAAGTCATAGAAACATTTGAAATATCTTTTATCTCTCTCTAGTGTGTAATGAGACACTGCACTCCAGCCTGGTGACAGAGCGAGACTCCATCTCAAAAAAAAAAAAAAAAAAAAAAAATTTTTTTTTTTTGTAAATACGTTAGCAACTTCTAGAAACCTCTGGTTCTCTTTATTGCCTTATGATTCTTGTGTAGCAATTTTTTTTTCTGTGACCAGAAAAACATGTCACAAGCCAAGTTGTATATATTGTTAGCAAGTGGGTAATGAATTAAACATAAGGCTAATAATTTTTTTAGCAGGATTACTTTTCCCTCCCAAATTATGCTATTTATTTTGGGGGTTCTGTTGGTTTGTGTGTTTGTGTCTAGTAGTTGCACACAGTATCTACCCTTAAAAAATACAGCAAATTCATTCTGCTTACCAAACTATGCCCTGAGCTCCAGAGCCAATAGGCTTTAGATTCTGGTAGCGCTTGAGAACTGTGAAGGTTGAGTCTCCCACTTCCACACTGTAGAATTGGTTGTCAACTTTGCTTTTGCTCATGTTGTAATGTTTGGCAATATATGACACATCCACTTGTTTATCGAATCCCTGTCAAAAAGAAGAACAGCAAAAACATGAGGCAAGTGAACAGGCAGAATGATAATGAGATGTACAGAAACTTGTTCTTTTAACGATTACTAACACCTAGCCATCTATCATCTATTTCATGAAGTTCACATAGAAAAAAAAAAATATGTATTCATCCATACAAGATTACCTGGAGTAAAAGAGCTTAGGGAAATAAATGCAAAGAAATGGTTTTTTCCCAACATTAAAACTATTTATAATAGACTTACCTTAAATTTTATTTGCATTATCTTTTCTAAAGTATCTCATGAAATCATTCATTTGTAGAATAAACATCTATATCTACTGAATATGCACTGATCTCAGAGGTTATGTTAGATCCTTCAGGATTCAAGTAAATAAGACAAAGATGATCACTGGTCATCCATTATACCAGTCACATGAGAACAGATAATAATATACTGAATGGGAAAACACTGGAAGCATTCCCTTTGAAAACTGGCAGTAGACAAGGGTGTCCTCTCTCACCACTCCTATTCAACATAGTATTGGAAGTTCTAGCCAAAGCAATCAAGCAAGAAGAAGAAATAAAGGGTATTCAATTAGGAAAGGAGGAATTCAAATTGTCTCAATATACATGGTTGTATATTTAGAAGATCCCATCATCTCAGCTCAAAAATCTCCTTAAGATGATAAGCAACTTCAGCAAAGTCTCAGGATACAAAATCAATGTGAAAAAATCACAAGCATCCCTATACACCAATAACAGACAGAGAGCCAAACCATGAGCAAACTCCCATTCACAATTGCTATGAAGAGAATAAAATACCTAAGAATACAACTAAAAAAGGATGTGAAGGGCCTCTTCAAAGAGAACTACAAACCACTGCTCAAGGAAATAAGAGAGGACACAAACTGATGGAAAAACATTCAATGCTCATGGTTAAGCAGAATCAATATCGTGAAAATGGCCATACTGCCCAAAGTAGTTTATAGATTCAATGCTATCTCCATCAAACTACCATTGACCTTCTTCACAGAACTGGAAAAAACCACCTTAAACTTCTTATGGGACCTAAAAACAGCCCTCATAGCCAAGACAATCCTAAGCAAAAAGAATAAAGCTGGAGGCATCACACTACCTGACTTCAAACTATACTGTAAGCCTACAGTAATCAAAACAGCTTGGTACTGGTACCAAGACAGAGATATAGACCATGGAACAGAACAGAGGTCTCGGAAGTAATGCCACATATCTACAACCATCTGATCTTTGACAAACCTGAAAAAAACAAGCAATGGGGAAAGGATTCCCTGTTTAATAAATGGTGTTGGGAAAACTGGCTAGCCATGTGCACAAAGCAGAAACTGGACCCCTTTCTGACACCATACACTAAAATTAACTCCAGACAGATTAAAGACTTAAACATAAGACCTAACATCATAAAAACCCTAGAAGAAAACCTAGGCAAAACCATTCAGAACATAGGCATAGGCAAGGACTTCATGGCTAAAACACCAAATGCATTGGCAATTAAAGCCAAAATAGACAAATGGGACCTAATTAAACTCCGGAGCTTCCGTACAGCAAAAGAAACAATCATTAGAGTGAATTGGCAACCAATAGAATGGGAAAAAGTTTTTGCAATCTACCCATCTGACAAAGGGCTAATATCCAGAATCTACCAAGAACTAAAACAGATTTACAAGGAAAAAAAAAAAAAACCGTCCAAAAGTGGGTGGACAATATAAAGAGAAACTTTTCAAAGAAGACATATATGAAGCCAACCATCATGTGAAAAAATGCTCATCATCACTGAGTACTAGAGAAATGCAAATCGAAACCACATTGAGATATCATCTCATGCCAGTTTGAACGGCGATCATTAAAAAATCTGGAGACAACAGATGCTGGAGAGGATGTGGAGAAATAGGAGTGCTTTTACACTGTTGGTGGGAGCATAAATTAGTTCAACCACTGTGGAAGGCAGTGTGGCAATTCCTCAAGGATCTAGAAATAAAGTATCATTTGAGCCAGCAATCCCAGCAATCTCATTACTGGGTATATACCCAAAGGATTATAAATCTATCTATTATAAAGACACAGGCACATGTATGTTCACTGAGGCACTGTTTACAATAGCAAAGATATGGAACCAACCCAAACGCCCATCAAAGACAGATTGGATAAAGAAAATGTGGTACATATATACCATGGAATACTATGCAGTCATAAAAAGGGATGAGTTCATGTCCTTTGTAGGGACATGGATCAGTCTGTAAACCATTATTCTCAGCAAACTGACACAAGAACAGAAAACCAAACACTGTATGTTCTCACTCATAAGTGGGTGTTGAACAATGAGAACACATGGACACAGGAAAGGGAATATCACACAGTGGGGTCTGTTGTGGGGGGCGGTTGGGAGGAATAGCAGGGGGTGGGAAAATTGGGGAGGGATAACATTAGGAGAAATATCTAATGTAGGTGACAGGGAGGTGGAGGCAGCAAACCACCCTGGCATGTGTATACCTATGTAACAATCCTGCATGATCTGTACATGTACCCCAGAACTTTAAGTAATAAAAAAAAATTGTACCTACATCCCTTTCTCAGAAAGAACTAAGATACAAACTTATGTAAAGTTTTAAGTATTTTAATTGAGTAAATTTGAATTAAACAGTGTTGACTTCATTTATTCTCATTAATAACAAATGCTATTATTCTGAACAAGCATAGGAAAATTTTTTTCAAGTTAACATTTTCTAAAATGCCACATGACACTTTATATTTTGGAAGCTTAGCTTTTAAATACCTTAATTGTTGCATTTTTTGCATATTTTTAGAAAAGTTAAACCATCAATTATTTTAGTCATTGAAGAGTCTGTCTTTATAATTTTAAACTGTAATATATATGTATAATACAAATATCCATTACCTGTGATAATGCACAAATGATCTTATATTGTCCTTATGACATAAATAGTAAGAATTCTATAGCTAGAAGGGACCTCACAGAATATCATGCAGCCCATTCCTGTGGCACACACTGGTGAATGCCTTCCCAACAGTCACCCTTTCTTGCTAGTTTTGTTCAGGTTTTAAGCACCCACATTTTCTATGGGTTTCTCTCCAATCCCAGTCACTGAAAATTAAACAATCTATGCCAGTGGTTCTCATTAAAGGTGGCTTTGACCCATTTGGGGCATTTAGGAGATTTGTGGGCAGGTTTCAAAATGCCGCAATAAAGGGAGAGGTAGGGTTTTTATATTGATTTGGTTTGTCAAAGATTGCTGGTTGTCCTACAAGAAGTGAGACATGAGTCATTCCCACACAATGAATAATTTCTCACATACCTCACAACTTGTGAGTGTCCTGCCAAAGTTTTAATTAGTAAAAAAATCTGCCTATAATGTTTTGAGTCCAGAATCTAAACCAAAGACTTTCTGTATGATTTTAACACGTGCCAACTTTTCTGAAAATCAAATTCTGATATAATTTAAAAGATTTAAATCTCCTTAGGCTCTGAACCTCTGGATTGATGATAAAACTATTTTCCTTGGAAAGTTTTGGCATTGCATCTCTAAATAAAAAAACTTGAAATAGAAGTACTATCTAATTTTCCCCATACGCCCTTGGAAGAGAATCCAAGCAGCATCAGTGATGTAAATGAGAATACAGTGGGGCCCATATGAACAAGGATGGCAAAACCTACAAATCCAGTGCTAGAATCTTGAGACCCCAGATAGCGGAAACAGACTTGCGAGTAGAATATGTGTGACAGGCACCAACCTATGTTTGCATCAGATATGGTGGCAGCATTCACTTCGAATGCACTCAGACCTCAAGGAATAAAGTGGACTTACGGGAACGTATGTTGCTTGTACAGGAAACCAAAAATTCAAGTGATTTGCAAATGCAATAACAAAAGGTCTACAATCAAGAAAGCAGACTGTGGAGCATGGCATAGGGAATAAAACAAGACTATTAAACATCAGGACATTGCAAGCCTATTGAAGGAGACAACAACAGGGTTTAGAATTTAGACAATGGGTGTGGATAGTGGCAGAAACAAGAACATTAGTCTTTAAACAATCCTTGATTTCAACCACAGTACCAGGAACTGCTCTCCACACCATGGCCCATTTCTACTCTAGACTTTTTGGCATATGAGCAGAATACCCTGAATAAAGCCCTCCTTTTTTCCCTTGCTAAGAAAGGTTAAAAAGCAATTGGAGCTAAAATATATAACAAATTCATCTGCCAAGTTTAATTTGGGATGAATGAAGGGCCTAACTTGCCATTTGTCATGTTCTGATCCTTCTTTATATCCTTTAATATTCTGTTTCTGACCACACAAAAATCTTTAACACATACTAGCCTCATCAAACCTGGATAATATATCTACCCTTCCCTTACTTATTTCCTTCGCTTTTGAAGTGTAGCTTTCTCAACTGTATTGCATGTATACACTAACCATTGGCACTGAACTTTGTGTTCTGGATTCCTGACTTAATGCTGTATCATGGCATGGCCTTATGCCTTTGGACTTCGCTGTGGCTTTTCTAGCTGTGGTCTCAGTCTTCATATCACAGTTGATTCAACTTGTTGTCCCTCCTCTTCCAACATTTCAATGTATATTCAAATATATCAAAGAAGCTTAAAGATTCGTGTCACTTCTCTTTCAGGTTTAACTTCACAAGCTACCCTATTTAATATTTAGAACTGTTTAACCCAACAAACACAGATGATATACATATTATTTGCCCAATACTAGGTTTGGCACTTGAAATATAACCAAAAAAAAGATAAGGTTTGGTCTAGAATGAAGACAATCAAATAAGAAAGTTTTTAAAGTATAGATAATACATTCTACAGTAAATAAAAGAAGGTGCTGGAAGCAAACAGAAACTAACAAGCAGAAAAAGGCTCTCTCTATATAATAGAAATAAGTGAATATTTATTCTGAAATAGAGTATTGCAATGGCAGCATATATGCCACAGTAAACTATGTGTGTAT